AGAAGAAAAGTCTTCTCAGCCTTCTAAATGGTCTCTTAGTCTTGCCCTCCAGTGGAGGCCCCATCCTCACAAGATTACCCTCCCTAAGTGCAAATCCAAACATGAGAGCTATTCACAGTAACACACTGGAGTCACACTGACATGGAGAAAAAGTTTAAAATATTAGGTATAGTTTGATTAATTTTGGTAAAATAGATGCGATATACAAAATGGACCTATATAAAACATATATGTAAAATATATAGTGGGGTATATAAAACAAAAATACATGAAGTATAATAACATAGATATAACAAAACAACATGAAGGTATTTTAACCAAAACATTTTCAGTATTCTTAAGTTATTGTCACAAAGTAGTATATTTCCTAATAACTTATTTCCTCCTTTCCTTATTAGGAAATATACTACTTTTAGTGCAATTATCTTATTGCACTAATTACTAATTTTAGTGCAGTTATCTTATCTGATCCATTTTAAATGCAAATATGACCATGTCATTCCTAGGCTTAAATTTCTTCACTTAAAAGATGTGACAACGACATAGGACTTCTGCTGGAGGGGGCAGAGAGGCCAGTAGGGACCAGGAAAGCCCTTTCTTCTCAAGTAGGTGGTATGGCCTGCAGGCTGTGAAGGGGGAAGAGGGCTCAGAGAGTGCATGGAAATCACCTGGCTTCATTAGCCTTCCCTTGGCATCACTGCATCTGTACCTTTGCACCATTCTTCCTCTCCCCCATCAGTTAAGATTCAGCACAGCTGCCTCCCTCCAGAACCTTCCCTGACTTTCATGCAGCTGCATCTGTGAAATGGTTTGTTCTATTTATTTTATTAGCCACCTGTCTGGACTTCTCTGAACTGTTAACCACTTTGCATTCTTTCCAGGGTCTGCTTATACCTATTCCTTGACTACTGTCTCTTGACTGCTTGGTGATAAGGATCATGTTTTGACCATTTATCTTCAGCATCTAAACCTGGAATACTGAGGTATTCAGTAAATGCTGATTAAAAGAAATGAATAAAGGGATGGATACAAAGAATGGAGGTAATGTGTGCTCAATGCCAAACAAGGCCTTGTCAGAAAAAGCAGCATATTATAAAGCATATACTATCCTGAACAAAAGCCTGAGAAAACCCAGGGGAGGAAGAATACTTTTTTAAATCCCTCTTCCATCTCTTAGCTTTCTTCATGCTGCTCCTCATATGGTCTGGAGTTCCATCAGGGTTTCTCAAGAACGAGAATTTCCATCTGAGAAGAGACACCACCTTATACTTTCCACAGGATTATCAGTTAGAGACTTCACAGCAGGAGGTATAGCTCAACTCATACTTGTTTCTCTGACCAATGGGATCATGAAATTATTGTCACTAGTACACAGTTCCCACAACAATCCTCTGTCTGCTTATGTCAAGATTAGCACCTACAAATCCAAAATAGCATCTGACGCAACTTTCTATTTCCAGAACAGCACATGGGATGTGTTAATAACACCCTTGCTAGATCCTTGGATGCTGAAGACAGCCCCAATAGCCACGTGTTGAAGGGACAGGCAGCCCTGATGTTTATCTGCTGATAACTGTACTGGTGGGACTCATAAGGGAATTCCAGAACTGTCTTTTGATAAAGCCTCAAAACCACCAGATCCACTGCTGCCAGAACTAAAGATAGCTTGGTCTACACGGGAAAGCAATTGGTCTGTAAGTTGGAAGGTGCTGACCCTCATTTTGCACTAACTGTTTCCGTTTCCTGGAGCAAATCATTTAATCTCTTAGCCTCTGAATGTCCATGCTTTCTTCTGTGCCTAGGGGTGATAATGGGGAAGGTAGGAGTCCCAAAGGAGATAATGGTCCCTCATCCCCAATCTCAGGAAAGGGAGAGAGGGACAGTCATAGTTAGAAAACAGCCACACTGGAAATGCTCCCCTGTTGTACCTGTAACAGGAATATAATCCTCCTATGCTTAGGCCTTTGGGGGCTGGGAGTGGCCATTTGGTGAGAGGTAATTCCCTTTGCTCTACTGCCTTCTAGCTTGCTGTGAAACATTCACCATGGTCTCTTCTTGCCTGCCTACCCTATCCCTCTACCATCCACCACAGCCTCGTTCAATGGCTAGCACAGGGAAGAGTCCAGTAGAAGCCAGAAATGAGAATGGCTATTCTGTGCAATTGGGAGGTCACCCAAGCCATAGGATAAATAACCATGGCTATTTTTCTTCTTCAGAAATACTCATTCTGTTCTTCTTTAAGACTTGAAACTATTGTATAATTAAATAGTATTTACTGAGTATTGGCTATACATGCCATACTAGGTTAAAACTTCATTTAAATTATTTCATTTACTACTCATAATATCTGAATGAAAGAACCATCTTTACCCCCATTTTACAAATGAAGAAACCGACATTTAGCTTTTATGTCAAGCTCAGAACTATTGTAAATAGATCCAGGATTTTATTTCATTAAAAAACCATATTGTGAATTTGCCTGAAAATAATTATAGTGCAGAAAGATAAGGAAAAAATTGGAGAATATATATTTAATCAAATAGTGGGTCTTGAGCAAGTACACAACTAACCCCACCATTCAAGCCTGATTCTAAAACCTGCACACTGCCTGCTGGGCAGGGAGAAGAGGTCTCAGATTAAAGAAAAAGTGTGTGATTAACTGATAGATATCAAAGCATAGGATGTAATCCTTCAGAAAACAAGTTATGAACAGCCTTGGTGTGCTGAATCAACCCATATGTATCTGCCTTTCACTCTATGATCCATCATAGCTTCATTCAATGACTAGCACAGAGAAGGGTCCAGGAGCAGAAGTCAGAATACATAAGTGCATATATATGAATAGTTCATTGATAATATTGTTAGTTAAAGTTCTTTCAAAAGGAGGCTGGGACAGGATAACTGGGCATTATTGTTCTTCCTCAGAGTCTGGCATCTTGTTTCCCAAAGGAAATCTCAAGCACTAACCAAACCAAACCAAACCAAACCTATGTCTAAGCTCTGTCATTGAATTTAGTTGGTTAACTAGTTTACATGGCAGAAGATGATCGCAGTTTTTCTTAGCAGTTCCTTACAAAACTATTTTTAAATCTTTAAATGAAAACATTATACTTGGAAATCTATGAGAACTCTCTTTGTTTCTTCTGGATTTGGCTCATTTGTATGATAGCTTTTTCTTATTTTAAATCAAGGACTTTACTGTTACCAAGCAAGGGTTTGGTGCCCAGTTGAAATAGAAGTCAATACCACAGCACTGATTTTTTGCTAAAAGAGCTTTACTGAAGGTTACCTGACAAGGAGACAGAAGACACATTCAAGTCTGTCTCCCTGACTAGCTGTAATAAAGGAATTTAAGCAGCCTGGGGTCAGTAGGAATCATTCTGGTAGGTCCTGAAACTGTTGACGGCACTCCATTTCTTATCTAGGTCCACGCCCAGCTCTTGTTCCTGAAATCCCACTTCCTGGAGACTTTTGGCTCCATCAGGCTCTCAAGGTTATTTTAGACCAGGTCCTAGGTTCTGCATCTGCATCCTGAAAAACAGCCTCGACAGTTTTTAGGAGCAGAAAAGTTGACGTTTTACAGCTCGGTTTTGTTACCATTAGATTTGCCAGAGCTGTAGTAGCACTCACCCATTGCCAAAGGTGTATAACAACACCTAATTCTTGGGCTTATCATCAAGATGAAATTAAATAAGAGAGTTGCTGCAAATTTTTTACACATGGGAAGCACTCAAAAAATGTTGGTGCCATCTCTACTGCCTCTGAAGTTAGGGTCTTTATTTTGTGAATTTCAGGACCTTGTAGGTGTAAACAGGAGCATTGGACCTATAAGACCTGGATTCAAACCCCAACTCATCTTCCTACCAGATGGGTGGTCCTGGGCAAATGTACTGCTCTCTCGGAACCTCCCATTTTTCTTGCATAAAAAGGAAATAATAGCCCTACTGTGCGGGAATACAGTGAAGTTTACAAATAACATATGCCAAATATCTGGCACAGGATGGCTGTTGTTTTGTGTAGCCTTGGATCAAACAACTTGTTCTATGGAATGGAGCTAATTATTAAGTTCTGTGAAGATGTTTTACTGCATGGTTGTGATTTCAAACACCCAGGAACTCACTTAGATGTCCCTTCATGGTTGTCTCATCTGGGCATTTTTAAGCCACTTCTGGGTGAGTCTCCTATTTAAAACTCAGTCATAAAGCCCAGGTTTACAAAGGGACAGATCAGCGACAGTGGCCATTCGCCCATCCGCAGGGGCACCGGTGGCATAACTGTAGCCCAACTTCCAACCAAGTTACATGACTCAGACAGATGTAGTAGGCATGAGATTACAGGCCAAGAGGAAGAGGTCCGGCTGTGGGCAGTATATTTGACAGGCTCATACACTGCAAGCCTTGTTCCGGGTCCCTTATAAAGCACCTCTTTAGGGTGAAAACAAGATGTTCTTTGTAAATAAAAGTTCACGCATTTGAGTAATGAAGTCATTTTCCAGCCCTGCAGTGAAAGATATTCTTCTCCCAAGCCTTCTGGGTGAGGACTGTCAAGAGGAAGAGGGGCGGCCAGTGAGACTCAAGAGAAGACATCAGCACCAAGAGTACAGCAGTCCCTCTCTAGAAAACCCGAAAAGCCTTGCTCAAAAAGAGTGGGCACCCTGTCCCTTGGTTCCTGAGATCACCGACCTCCGGCTCCCTCCCGCCCCTGGAATCCCTTTCCACCCACTTTGCTGCGAACTAGTGGGGGCCCCATAAAAATCTACATAAATAGATAAGACACTCAGCAACTTTGCTAAACAAATTAGAGATGTGAAGAAGCAATTGCAAAGCTGAATATTCATCTGGAGTCCTTGGAGGGGTTCCAAACTGGGGGGGAGGAGGGGGGAGGAGGGGGGAGGAGGGGGAGGTCCCGACCTTCTCTGGTCGGAAAAGCCAACTAGAAGAGGGAGGGCCTGGAAGTGGAAGGTGGAAAAGGGAGTGGTGAGAATGAGTGGGAAGGAAGCCAGCGGAGCGCCGTCCTCAGTCCCGGCAGCCAGGAAAAGGAGGTGGCGGCGGGAGGGGCTCCCCCGGTACTGTCCGCCTTTTGATGCTCGCTGGGTCCTGAGCTCCATCCATCCGTAGGTTCCAGACCCAAAGCCTAGCGAGGGCGGGGGAAGGAGGACAAAGTGAAGGAGGGTGAGAAGACGGAGGAGGGTGGAGAGAGAGAGAGACACTACGCTGACTCTCCTTTATTTTTTTAAACAAAGTTGCTGATTGGGCTGCCTGGCGTTCCCACATCTGGATAGTGCAGACCCAGAAAAGATACCAGGCACCACCGCACCTCGGGGGACCGACAAGACAACAAGCAGCTCCTGAACCCCGCGAAGAGCCCAGCTGGATGCCAGCGCAGAGATGGCTTTGAGCTCAGCCTGGTGCACTGCCCTGCCTCTGTGGCTCCTCTGGGGCGCCGCCTGCTCCATTGCGGTGTCCGGGGACGACACCGCGTTTCTCTTTGACATTGAAGGGAGCTCAGCTGTCGGCAGGCAAGACCTGCCTGAAACCAGCAAGCCACGCTTGACTCCCGAACCCCTGCCTCCTGCTGCCCAGGTACACTGTGTGGCCACCCTGCTGGGTGTCTGCGCCCTCGGCTGTGCCATAGCGCTCTCTCTTTCTCTGTCTACCCCTTCCTCCCTCCCTCCCTCTCTCCCTGTCTCTCTCTCTCTCTCCCTGCCTTTCTTTCTCCTTCCCTCTCTCCCTCTCCTGCTCTCACTGCATTGAGAGTTTCACCTGAACTAAGTGCAGAAACTTGAAGTAGTTTTGCTTTGTAAGTTGAGTTTGGATGTTGGAAGTTGAAGGTGGAAGCTTTGGAACAGTGTCTATTCAAGCTGGCAGAAGTGCATGCACCCTTCATGCACTGAGTGAGTCTTTTACCCTGGAACCTGGAACTGCAGAAGCATGTCAGTCGACATTCTGCAATTTGTGTGCCCCCAACAGTCATGTTGTCAAGCCTGGCGCTTAGTGTGTGCACCTATCACTGCCTTCCTGTTCCTCTTTGCTGTTTGGACGATGGGAATACTACAGGACATAACCTTTGTCTCATACTGAACAAAGGATCTTCAGGAGGAGGTGACAGGCTGAGTAAGGGTGATGAACCATGAAAGAAGCTGTGAGGAAACAGCAGAGCAGATACCTTAAATAGACACGAGCCATTATATACCAGAAGCAAGATTAAATCAAACCCTGTCCCCAAAGTAAAAATGATCAGGATATGCCATTGAGCATATGTTTAATACCTTCCAAAGCTTTTAGTTGAAAACATAGTCAAAGTGTAGATATTTGCCAAAGGAGAATGAATTCAGAATAAGTGATTTAAGAGCCCCCTGAGCCCAGACAGACAATAGCATGTCCAGTGCGTGGGAGATGATAAGTAGAAGGAAAATGAAGTCACCTAAGTTCATGGGAAAGGAAAGAGCAACTGGCCTAACAAAATACACACACACTCTCTGTGTGTACACAGAGAGAGAGAGAGAGAGAGAGAGAGAGAGTCTATAGTTACGCTTACAGCAACCATACAACTAAAAGTTAAGTGAATTGACACTATTTCTAACACCACTGAAGTCTGGATTGTTGCTATGGATTTTACTAATTGGAGTATAACTGTGGTTAGTAATTATTGATGTAAATGGTCATCCTTCAGAGTGAGCTCTACCCACTCTTTCCCCAAGAAGGAGAGGTGAGTAGAGCCAGAGAGTAACCATGTCCCATTGTGGTGCAAATATAATTTCCATTAGAAAGAGGGGGCATGGCTTCTGGTCAACTACACATCCAGACATGGTGGACAGGCCAGACCAGGACAGATTCCACACAATGGGAAGGCCTCCTTCTCTGCTGTCTTGGAATTAATCCCAGGGAAGCATATCTCCACCTGTTGCTTTTGAGCATGGGAAGTCCCTGAGTGAAATGCTTGACTTAAGAGTAGGATTGAGGACTGGGGGGGCATGACTTAAGTATTAGAGCACCTGTCTAGCAAGCATGAGGTCCTCAGTTCAACCCCCCCAGTACCACAAAAAAAAATGGGATTGGCAGATAGGATATAGGACACCCAATGAAATTTGAATTACAGATGAATAATGAATAAATTTTTGGCTATGTCCCAAATATTGCAAAAGACATATTTATGCTAAAATTTTTCATTATTCATCTTAAATTCAAAGTTATCTAGGCATTTTTGTCTGTTCAGTCTAAACAGTCAAGCTCACACAACTTTTTTATTTTTATAGTCTCATCCCATAAAAATTTAAGAAAGTAATTGTGTCAGTGCTAGAGAACCAAAAATTAATACCACAACCCTGAACAACTTCTTATATTCTCACATATTATGAAACAATAGGAAAGTGACACAGCCAAATGTTTAAATGACATGCATTCAAACCAATGGAGCCACATTCAAATTGCAAGCTTCTTGACCCTGGACAAATTATAGTTGCCCAAATTGCAGATAAAGAAACTGAGGTTTACAAAAGTTACTGATTCCCACCTTATACCTCAGAGAGTTAGGGTGATGAATTTAAATAACATACCCAGAGTGCTTAGCACAGTGTCTGACATAGAATACGTTTTTATACGCACTAAGAGTTGTTATTACAAGTGGATGATTAGATTAAAAGAAATCCTACATTTGGCAATATTTCTCAGAACTGTACTTTTATGGTACTATTGTACTTAATATTATTTGTTAACATTGTTATATGTCTGTCCACATCTTTCCAATCAAGAAGAATGGCCCCTTAGTCATTTAAATGTGCAATGTTGTTGGAGTCTAATAGGTTCAAAATGTCAGTTGAGGGCTTTGGGAAACAGAAAGAAGATATTAGTCATTCCAGGAAGGTCAAAGAGTGTGGTGTACACAGGGTGGGATTGGGCTAATTATGTTCCCAGAGCATAGTTTCCCATAATGCCTCCAGTTAGCCTGCGGTCCCCGGATGATGCCAACGCCTCATCACCAGGCTCCCCATGCTGTTTATAGCCAAGAAGCAGATCTTAAACCAAATACGCTCTGGAGACTTAATAACATGGACAACCACTTTACTGGATGGGATCGGAAGATTGTATTTAGAGAGAGAGGGAGAACATGGATATGTTATTCATGGGACAAGTTCAAGATGTGGATGGGAGGGTATTCTAAAATTACACTCACTTTGTTTGAATTAGATTTATATGAATGGTATTCCTTAAATCCCCTTCAAAGGAAAGGAAGAAAAATACTAAGGCTTGGGAGGCAGGCTAGTGGGAGGTGCTTGGCTGCAGGCCCCTCAGTTCTCCCCAACCCCTGCCATAGCATGCATTCCGTCCACCCCTGGGTGCTTGACCCACTGTGGTGCTCAGTGTGATCTGGGAGCAAACACATGAAAATGCACTGAATGAGAGAATGGAGAGTACTGGCTGCCAAGAAGGAAGGCTGCTCCTTGTTTTGTAAAACAGGTCCAAGCTTCCCCCAAGGATAGAAAGAATGTGAAAAGCAAAACACCCATAGGTGAGTCTGTGCTCCTTGTGAGGAGGATTTCCTCACTCTACTTCTTGACAAGTGATTAACCACGTTTGTTATTGCTGAGTGTATGGTGACAGCAGCAGTATCAGTCAGTGAGGGAAGGAAAGGGTCAGGCTAGCAGTTCCAAAAGACACAGTCAGTATTCCAATACTTCACATTTTTTTAAATCCCTCATTGTCAACTACAGTATAACAAGTAAACCTAAGCAAAAAGTCTTCCTGGCCAATATTGAAATGCAGAAGAACCAAAGAAAATGCAGGAGTGGAGAAGAGAACACCCCAGAAGGAGCTGGTATCAGAGTAGCCTTGAGCCTTGGAGAGAGTGAGATTCTTGTCTATGGAAAAGAAACCTGAGTTAAACACCATCAAGAACAACATTAGGTTAGAAGCTGACACTGTGGCTGAAGACAAGCCACAAGGAGACATTGAGAAATGAAGGGACAAGGCTGTGCTGGAAGGGTCAACTGGGAGTGACTAGAGGTAGCTATTACTGGTTTTGATCCATACATAAGAATATAAGGGAATTAAGTGACAACAGTGAGCAAAATCCCAGAGAGAGAAAAACAGGACTTTACCTCCTAGTAACCTAACTGGGTTTTACTGTTATTATCGTATTAACTTCCCTCCAAAAAACTCAGTGCTCCAGGAGCCGTATGTGTGTCCCACCCTGACCCACAACTGAAGATGCAGGAGACTAGTTCTAAGGTACTTTCCCTCTGGATTCTTGTTGATCTGTGATCCCACCCCACACACACACACACATTGTTAGGCTCCCTGCCACTGAAGGATTGCAGAATGTTTACTAAAAGACAGTTTATATCTCTTTCATTATCTGTGTTCCTTTTCCTTATCTTGACCCCTTACTTTGAAAAGGATTCCATAGGAGCACAATAACACAACCAGTCACTGGCCTGAGGCTTCATCCTAGACTGCTAATTCCAACCATTAGATTTGGTAATTTGGCCCCCTGCGCGTGGTCATTATTCCAGTCACTTAATTATTCATACAACAGCAGATTTGGAGATCTATCATGTACAGAACAATAAAATAGGCACTAGGAGGGATAGAAAGAAGGCAGTCTCATCCTTACCCACAAGGGGTAAACAATGTAAGAGAGAGAAACAATTCATATACTCACTGCATGATGCAGAATGAACGAACATTCTATAAGAGTGGCTACAAGCTAAGTGCCACAGAGATGTGCTCAGGAGCTAGACCAGGAGGGCACAGTGACCGATAACCAAACAACAAAGTTGGTTTTATAAAACTTAGCTTATAGGGACTAGAATATAGTACTATTGGTATAGCTAACTTGTTGAGGTCTTACCACAATGCCAGACACTCATCCAAACACTTTCCTTTCACCTTCATGACAAATCATTGGGACTGTACTGTTGTACACTCACTTTACAAACAGAAGCACACACAGAGCAGATGCCCAGGTCGTCTATCTGGTAAAAGGCACCACTAGGAAAGAGTTTATAAAAGCAGTCTGACTGTCCAGGAATATGTAGAAGTGGTGAGGTAAATAGAATTACCAGTAGGAACCATTTTTATCAAGGTTTGTGGAATTTCTTAAAATGAAGAAATATAAAATGCCACTCCAGACCATTTATGCAATGCTTGCTAGAAGACTAGCATAAGTCACACAAACTGTTAGGACTGTCAAAGACTTGAGGTAACTCCCCTTCCCTGACTTGTTTAATAATGAATGATCTTTACATTTTTTATTTGTTTTTGTAGTACTGGGGATTGAACCCAGGGCCTCATACACATTAAGCAATCATTCTATCAATTAACTCTACTCTAGTCCTTAACTATTTTTTAAGCAGCTCATGTAAAAAAAGAAAACAAACAAACAAAAAGCTAATGCTTGTTGACTTCTGTTATGTCCCATGAGCCTATATGTATTATCTTACTTAATACTCAATAGTGAAATTATACAAGTTCTGCAGATGAGTGAATTGGTGTTTGGAAATGAGAGCAGCTTTGTTTTCTCAGTACATCACCAGGTCTCTCTGATGGACTTCTTTCTTGTTTGCTGTGCATCCATTTCCCTT